TTTAGTAGAGATGGGGTTTCACCATGTTGGCCAGGCTGGTCTCAAACTCCTGACCTCAGGTGATCCACCTGCCTTGGCCTCCCAAAGTGCTGGGATTATGGGTGTAAGCCACCACACCTGGCCAAGAACAGATTTTGAATATACTCAAGACAAAAAATGATAAATGTTTGAAGTGATGGATATGCCAGTTACCCTGACTTGATCATTACATATTATATACATATATCAAAATACCACATGTACCCCAAAATATGTATAATTATTACATGTCAATTAAAAATATATAAAATCAGTTCTCACTTTGGCAGCACATATACTAAAATTTGAATGATACAGAGAAGATTTGCATAGCCCCTGCACAAGGATGACACGTAAATTTGTGAAGTGTTCCATATTTTTAGAAGACCCCATCATCTCAGCCCAAAATCTCTTTAAACTGATAAGCAGCTTCAGCAAAGTCTCAGTATACAAAATCAGTGTGCAGAAATCACAAGCATTATTATACACCAATAACAGACTTAAAGAGAGCCAAATCAAGAATGAACTGCCATTCACAATTGCTATGAAGAGAATAAAATACCTAGGAATACAACTAACAAAGGATGTAAAGGACCTCTTCAAGGAGAACTACAAACCACTGATCAAGGAAATAGGAGAGGACACAAACAGATGGAAAAACATTCTATGCTCATTGTTAGGAAGAATCAATATTGTGAAAATGGCCATACTGCCCAAAGTAATTTACAGATTCAATGCTATCCCATCAAGCTACCTTTGACCCTCTTCACAGAACTGGAAAAAAAACCCTTAAACTTCATATGGAACCAAAAGAGAGCCCACATAGCCAAGACAATTCTAAGCAAAAAGAACAAAGCTGGAGGCATCACGCTACCTGACTTCAAACTATACTACAAGGCTACGGTAATCAAAACAGCATGGTACTGGTACCAAAATAGAGATATAGGCCAATGGAACAGAACAGAGGTCTTGGAGGCAATGCCACACATCTACAACAATCTGATCTTTGACAAAGCTGACAAAAACAAGCAATGGGGAAAGGATTCCCTGTTTAATAAATGGTGTTGGGAAAATTGGCTAGCTGTGTGGAGAAAGCAGAAACTGGACACCTTCCTGACACCTTACACTAAAATTAACTCCACCTAATACCATAAAAACCCTAGAAGAAAACCTAGGCAAAACCATTCAGGAGACAGGCATAGGCAAGGACTTCATGACTAAAACTCCAAAAGCA